TTTTTTTTTTTTTTTTTTACAATTTCCACACAATTATGCAAACACAAAATTTTACCAAAACAAACTCAGCAGCACTTCAGACACATGCAAACTGCTAAAAAGGTTATCGAAGTGGGCTACTGAAAACTATAAACTATAAATTTGTCATAAACCCAACCACTGACCTGACAGCATTGCATGTAGGGCCTTTATTACATTTAGGACTAGTGTTTGACTGATATAGATTTTTGATGTCTGAGAGCAGGGTGGCTGATGGCCGATATAAAGCAAATATATATGATATTACACAATTTAATGTAGATAGCAAATACATATCCAAAAAACACATCTATAATTGCTGAAATTAAATTAATATTTATTTTACATAAGATGTACTAAATAATAAATAATTTAAAAATATATAAAAAATAATTTGAACTTAACCTCCTGAGCCGCTGTGACCTCATATGAGGACATTATATTTTGGTGTATTTCTCTGAGACTATACATGCCACAGTTTTAAGTCTGGTTGTCCTGTACAGAGCACATTCAGGGCTTTTCAGAGATACAAATGTTTGGATGTTTCACTATGATCACTCCCTCTCCTTGGTCTTCAGATATGTCTGATATTAATTTAGTGACACTCTTATGGAAATATGATAATATTTTGTAATTATCATTTAAATCTGTCTAATTTTTAAACTGTCTGTCATAAATCAACATCTCAGGAAAATGTTATGGGGTTTCAAATCAAAATATGACTTTCTGTTACGAAACAGGATGTTGATTTCATACATGTCCTCATATGAGGACACCAGGACTAAAAGCATGTTTATTACGCATTTTGGGAGACACAACAAATGAATAGATATAATTAAAAATATTTATTTTTTTTTAACTTTTTTTTTTATGCTCTAAACTATGTAAAGAACATGAAAAAAAACTTTTTTTTCCCCCTAAAAATCTTTTCTCGGGTCTTAAGAGGTTAAAAAATTAAATCTGTAAAATAAACAGATTTATACCTCAGATGGCAACTTCTTGATTCTGTAATCTTACTATAGTATTTTTCCCAAATAAAGAAATTGTTAAAAATATGAATACAAAGAAATGTATCACTGTAATCAATGGTGCACTCAGACATCATCCAATCATCCGTTAAAAACATGGTACACACATTTTTATACAGTCTACAAATGCATACTTCAGAGCATCTCACAGCTGGATTTGCCATAGTTTGCAAGGTTTGTGCATTTAAATGTTTATTAGATATTCAAAGACTTGTTTAAATGATAGAAATGCATATTTACTGAATGCTGACTGTAGATAATTAAGTAATATGTGACCCTGGACCACAAAACCAGTCATAAGGGTCAATTTTTTGAAATTGGGATTTATACATCATCTGAAAGCTGAATAAATAAGCTTTCCATTGATGTATGGTTTGTTAGGATAGAACAATATTTGGCTGAGATACAACTGAAAATGTGAAAGTGAAGTTCTTAACAATGCATATTACTAATCAAAAATTAAGTTTTGATATATTTACGGTAGGAAATTTGCAAAATATCTTCATGGAACATGATCTTTACTTAATATCCTAATGATTTTTGGCATAAAAGAAAAAT